AAGTGCTGTACATATTGTGGTCCCTTCTTAGATGCTGGCAACCTTCCCTTGTCATTGAAATTTCCAGTGGCTAATCAGGCATTTAGGTTGATGTTGAGTAAAATCCTAGTGCTCAATGAACGTCCTAATTACGTCCATTTTAGGAACAGATTTTGTAAACTTGCATTGAAGCTCAAAGAAGATGGGAGAGCACTTTCCCTGCTTATTGCAATGATGGTCGGAGTGGATGCTATTTGGACTACACTCATACTTGTCCACATTCTGCAGACAAAGACATTGGGACATGACTAATGCTTCATAGCTCCTAGGTTGTCTAATCTGTGGTTTAGGAAAAGTTTGATCTCCTCTTATATATCACATGCAAAATTGATTTTCTTATTTTCCTTCTGCGCTGATTGTGTTCTATATAAATGTGCCAAGAGCAGCTCATGGGAAGAGTCAAAGCTGCTTCCTTACTTTATTGTGGAGTCAGAGTGGCTGATATGTGAACTGTGTATGCCATTCATTTAGACATATTTAATGCATCTAAGGTCTGATTAAGTAGACAAACAACTGGCAAAAGATTTCTATGCTTATATGCTTTCTATGCTTCTCAACTTTTGTGACTGTCAATCTGGAAAGATTTATCCTGCTAAAGTGTCTAGCTTAGTCTTCAGCTTGCAGATCCTGGAATTAATCTGTTTGTCATGTTATTTGTCTTAGAAATTATTTCATATGGCTATATCACGGTATGTTGAGGACTCTGAGAAGAAAGACTTGCTGCTTCAGTTGTTAAAGTGGATGCCAGGCCAAGGCTATTCTGTTGATTCCTCTACAAGAAACTTAATCCTCAAGAAGTCTCACTTGTATGGATGCCAAATTGTTGCTGAATTATTATCCAAGCAGCAGGTAGTGTCAAAAACAAAATCTCGTCGGACAAGGACTAAATGAGGCAGTACAGGTATTTTATGGTTCCTTCCTGCTCTCTGGGTAATTATTTCTTTGGCAATTTTGAAGTTGGTTTCCAAGTTTATTTGGATCCATTCTTTCTGTCTCTGGTTAATTCAAATTGTTCCTGCAAATTCCACTTAATTTCGATGAAGTCGCATCAAATGCATTCTTTCTATGAACTTGTATAGAGTGTATTTTCTAAAAATAAAATTTTTATAATAAAAAGTATTTAAGTGAAAATGTCTGAAATCTGAATCCACCTTCCCACCCGTCACAAATAACCCTCAAAGCTTCCTCTGTCATATGGACCAATTCCTCCCTCCCATTCCCCAGTAATAATCAATGTCTATTGCACTTCCAAAATTTAACACCAATATCTCTGAGCCTAAATTCCTCCAACCAACTTAATAATCACACATACTCAAAATTATTGTCATAGAAAATCAATCATAATAAGGTTGAAAAAAGGCTAAAAATTGGAACTTTAATTCACAAAAAAAAGCCTTGGGCATTCCATAGTAGTGAAATGCTGATAGCAGCGCCTGCATGTGTATTGTCATGGAAACAATCAGGAAATAAAAGAGAAGAATAGTCGTGCTATTCATCAACTTTTACAGGTGAAGTTCATTTATGTAGCTGTGTCCCTATTTGAGAATAAGTTGATCTTTTACCATCGAGTTTAAAGTTGACTTTTACATCATCGCTTAACACATTCCAAATTTTGGTAAGTCAAATTAAGCCCCTATTATTATTTTTTTAATTCCAATAAAACCCACAACATTCTTGTAAATAACCTGAATGGTGTAGGAGGAGAAAAGGTGCCAAAAATTCTGAAGAATCCTAAGGGGATTTAGAAAATTTAGTGATAGCAGCAATAGTTTAGCTAATTACTGTAGAAGCTCTGGCCTTCATTCTCATGTGTTGCATTAAGTTTGCCAGGTTCTACGATAACCTGCAGAACCTGGTACACTTTCTCTTGCTAAGCCTATAATTGATTTACATTCTGTGCACTAAATTGTCCAGCAGATTAGATTGTAACTTCTAGGAAGATATGTCGGAAACCTCTCTCTACATGCTCCATCTTATCTATCCAGGTCTGTTCATAGATGTAGAATGGCCACAGGTTTCCATCCAACCATACCAATTTTTGTCATGGGTGTAATTTCAACATGCATTAGTTGTCGTTTATGAACTAATTGATTTACACCCGAATTTTCAGTGATCAGCGATGATTGGGATCTCCACAGGATACAAATGAATTCTGTCCGACCATGCATTTCTTACATTTGGGTCAGGGTGAGAGATGCATTCCCAAACTGCACTGTTACATTTAAAGCCACTGCCAAAAGAGATTTGCCAGATTCTGTCCCCCTTTTTTACCCTCCCTTTGCTCTCCAAATAGCATAACTCGTACCAGACAGAAGAAGATGATGTGTTACCAAATCTATACAAAGTCATTCTGGATGCTTCTCCATCTTCCTTGTTCAGCCCAAGATTTTCCTCAATGGCATCAATTACTGCCCTTCCTCCAGCATGTATGCAAAAATGGTCAAAAGCCTTCTTGAAATTGGGCAGATGGATTTCGTTCTGGGTACTAACTGTCCAGATCTTCTTGCGGATAACTGACCATCCGTACAGAAGTTGTTCCGAGTAAGGCAAGACAGCTGGTGCCAAGTCTGTTATGTTTGTCTTTAGCGCATTTCCGGCCACATGCAGAAGTGATCTCAAAATGGACACCCCAAGATGACCAGATTTGTCATTCTCTTGGTAAACTGACATATATGATTGATCATTAGAACCCATGTGTGTTCGATAGAGATGTTTGAGTTTGTATCTAGCTGTCTGTCTGTCTCGCTTCTTGTTGGACAACAAAATGGCTACACCTCCCATCCGAAACAAGGCATTGGCTAAAAGCATGGACTTGACATTTCCTCTATAACCATTTGGAGTTACGGCTTCAATGCTTAGAACCAAAGCCAATGAATTGCTATGGACTTTTAGGAGGTCTTTTGCTAAACTTACAGCCAAGAGTCCGGCACTGCAACCCATTCCACTAAGGTTGGCACTCTTAACATTGCTTCTGAAACCAAATCTATTTATGATCATAGCTGGGATGGATGGTATGGGGCAGAATATACTGCAGTTGGATACAATTATGTCAATGCTTTTTGGATTAACCTTGTGTTTGGAGAGAAGGTCTTCTACGACAGTGAAGAGAACAGTTTCTATTTCTTCTCGACATCGTATCAAAGAAGAATCAGGAGGCATCTGATGTACAGATAAAGGAGCACAGGCCTCATTCCCGACACCTGATCTTTCTGCTACTTTTGTGTGAAAATCAATTGCCTCCCTCTCATGAACCTGACATCTTTCAGAGTGTTCAATGAAATGGGATGCTGGGACGCGCAGGTTATCAGGTGGTAGATAGCAAGAGAAATCAATAAGGTAAATGCATTTTGATCTAGTGTAGAAAAGATAAACAACCAAGAGAAGAATAGTGGTTACTAGGAGATGAAAGTAGACGTGGGAAACTGCAGCAGCTAGGAAGCTTGAATAGTCTGTTAGAAAAAACTCCTGTAGTAAGGCTATCATCTTTATGTTTTAGTTATTCTTTGTGTTGTGTTATGTTATCTGGCTTAAATACAGTAGGGATTGCAGAAGAAAGATTTTTAGGGATTTGGTTTGGCAGACACTCAACAAACTATGGAGCGATGATAGTAGTAATGCAAAAACATGGCTATCTTCTGTGTCTGTCATGCCAAATGCATTGCCGTGGATTGAAAGGCCTGGCAACCACATGCGTGGTAAGAAGTTAGCCAACGACTAGTTGCAGAATCCTGTTATACTAAAAGAGACAAGTTCATAATCAAACTCTTTCCCTTCACCTGAAGTGCCCAGTTAGATGCACCTTCCTCACTCCTGACGTGTTGGAATAAAAAAGGTCGATAAAGTTCCTTGTTATTCTCTTCCACTGTTTATCACTAAATCCAGATACAACTAATTGCCTTTTGCTTACGAAAACTCGACTTTCTTTTCTCATTTTGTTTTCGTATTGATAAGCAATTTCATGTTCAATCTAGTAATCCACTAAGTTTTGGCACAGTGGTCACCAAAAAGGGACTAAGGTTCCTCTTTGGGTTGTAGGTTGGAGGTGTCAGAGTATTCTTTTGATCTAGTAAGTTCTTACACACAGTGGTCTAATGTTGATATTAGTCTCTTATATACGGTCTTTTTAGACTCCATCGTTGCCGTAAAAAAAAAAAAAGAAAAAAGGGACTAGTATCAACATTAGACCATACAGACACTTATCCCCCACGGGTCAGGCTTTTGGATTACAAGAATGGTTTCTGAATGAACAAAACCTAAGACAGATTCCATGTTCCTAACGTCGTATACTAGGCAGTAGCCAACCAGTTCAAATTGGTTTAGGAATTCGGTCTTCATTAGCTTTTGAAAAAATGGCAAATGACAGATGCATGAGTTCGACATTTGATCAAGGTGTAAGCGTCAAGTTGCCAGCAGAAGAAAATGTAAGAGGACCAAACAGGAGATTCGGCCAGTTTACCTCCATAAATCTGAGAAAACATCTGCTTCAGCTTGATTCGATTGAAGCTCAATTGAAGCACCAAAACTTTTTTTGATTCGATTCTAAGTCACATAGGTTGTGTTTGGATTGCATTTTTCATGATTTTTTATGAAAAAATTATTGTAGCTATTTGATGTATGTGAGAGAAAAAAATAATAGATAAATGTGATTACGAGAAACGACGTAATTTTTTTACGAAAAACAGCAATCCAAACAATTGCGCCATGACAATCACTGGTATAGAGACTTACTGCACTTGTGTTCTATGAAGCTTAGATTGCAAAATATTGATTCAAAGACTTCTCTCTTCTTTAGACAAATTATTATGCTTTTTATCTATTTGTATTAAGTTGATTTTCAACTCCATTATAGATTAGATTTAGAAGGCTATTTTCATATTTTTGTGAATCATCGAGTTTGTGATCCAAACACCAAAAACTCCAAACCGACTGCAGAATCATGATTTTGAAAATGTGAGCCTGGATATTCAAATTAAAAATGAAAATAAGGATCCGAATGTAAATAATTATACTTTGGTTTACTTTAATCACTTCTCTCATTACTAATCAAGCACCTTTACACGCTTGCTCCTGCAGTTCACTCTCATCAGTGAAGGATGAGCGCCCGCTACCCGACAACCATAACCCCGACCCAAACCCGAATAGGCTGGGTAGGCATAGGCGTGATGGGCTCCGCCATGGCCTCCCGCCTCCTCTCTGCGGGCTACTCCGTCACCGTCTATGACCGAACCCCGTCAAAGGCCGCCCCTCTCCAATCCAAAGGGGCCCATCTGGCTCCCTCCGTCGCCGACCTCGCCCGTGCAAGTGATGTCGTCTTCACGATGCTGGGACACCCATCAGATGTTCGACAAATTGTGCTAGAGAACCTTGTTCCTTCTCTCAATCCCAATAGCGTTATTATTGATCACACTAGCAGCCACCCCACCCTGGCTAAGCAGATTTATGATTCTGCCCTTGAAAGACACTGCCACTCCGTTGACGCCCCAGTTTCCGGAGGCGACATCGGAGCGAGAGATGGCAAATTGGCGATATTAGCCGGGGGAGACGAGGATGTTGTGAAGTGGTTAAAACCACTGTTTGATGAAATGGGGAGGGTGACTTATGTTGGCGGCCCTGGGAAGGGACAGCATTGTAAAATAGCGAATCAGATAACCGCTGGGGCGAATTTACTTGGGCTGAGTGAAGGGCTGGTTTTCGCGGAGAAAGCCGGTTTGGACAAATTGAAGTTTGTGGAGGCTGTGAGAGGCGGTGCAGCTGGATCAATGGTGATGGAGTTGTTCGGGGACAGGATGATCAACAAGGACTTCAAGCCTGGCGGGGTCGCGGAATATATGGTGAAGGACTTGGGAATGGGAGTGGATGTTGGCGAAGAGGAAGGGGATGAAGTGGTGGTATTGCCTGGCGCTGCATTGACTAAACAATTGTTTGCTTCTATGGTGGCTAATGGGGGTGGGAAGCTGGGCACCCAGGGGCTAATATCTGTCATTGAGAAGATCAATGGCAGTTAAGATAACAAAGTGAAATCATAGCCTCAAGCAAATATCAAGTTAAGATAGCACACTAGACTAGCTGAGCTTGTTTATGTAATGTAATTTTAATCTAAACCTCTACAAGGGCTCACGTAGCTTTCGAGCTGGACGTGTTTTTTTTGTCAGCAACGAATCATTTGTATAACCTACTCTATCCTTATCTAGGGGAAGGGAGAGGGGGGGGAAGGGGGAGGGGGAGCCTAAGGAGACTGTTGTAGGGACTAGTGGGTATATAGATCCAACTAGACCAAGGAAGTGCTGGACGTGTTGATGGCGTACAAACTGTAAAATAAAACTCGGAGAAGGGGAATATGTGACGGTTAAAATTAGCGATGTCTACGTGTTTGCTTTTCAGCTTATATCAGATTAAAGTCGAAGTAGTGAATTACAATTGGGTGGCAAGAGAAGTTCTCGAGGCTTTCATTCATATTCTTCAACTCAGAAATTGATCAAACCCAAAAGAACTACCAGTTAAAAGCGCAAAAGAAAAAAAAATACCCACGGAATTACACTCCTCGATTATTTTGTAGTAGAATTATGGAAAAATGGAGTACTTCGACCCACAATTGAGGAAAAAAGAGATTTATTTTTATTGAGTTAGTTGAAGAAGGGTTGAATGTCAAATGTGTACATCCAATTACCAAAAAAAAAAAAAAAAGAACCATCTCTTCAATTTGTTTTATATCTATATATATAACGAAAATTGGGACCCTGATGGGCATAAACCCGTTAAATAAAAAATCTTACATGACTTAAATTTAACATAATAGAATGATCATCTTCACTCTTCAAACTTCAATACCTTTCTTTCTGACTCCAATTTTTGTTGAATTTGATTAATTTCTTGTTTGAAGATAAAATTGGTCAAAAAATTAATAGTTTAAATACTAAAAATCTTATACTAATAAGAATGAAATGCATCCATGACCCAAAGTTAATTGGCCTTTTCCCCCATTTATTACTTTAGAAACCCCCTTACTTCACTCCTCAAGCTTATCTTTATTTCGTCATTTGAGATCTGACTGTTTTTGCCCTATTTCTTTTTTTTTTTCTTATCAGATAAAATTAATCTTTTTAGACGTGAACAAGTAGGTAAAAATATGATTAAAATCACATATGTCAAAAAACTTGATAATTAGATTTCGGAGAGAATAATTAAAGCAGATTACAGCAAATCAAATTAAGTGGCCTCCCAAAGTTCATTAGTCTTTAGATACTTGTATATCTTTTTGTAACCTTTGAGGTAGAAGTCCTCAAAGGCTAGGAGTCCTAGCCACTGGCCCTTTGGCCTGGTGATCACTGCCAAACATTTAAGTCTTGGTAGTATTGGGAGATCAAGGATTCAACTCTTGCTTCCCATCAAATTGTCACTATAGGTGGCTGCTTTCAGTGACTTTCTCCGATGGAGTTTCTACTCTCATCGGCTCCTCCTCCTTAATTAAAATAGATTAGATTATAGAAATATTATCGTTGCGATTACAAAAAAAAGGTAGGAGTCCTCAAGTCCCAATTCTCAACTCATTCCTTTGGAGGAACAAAATTTTTGCCCTTGCCAATCTTGGTGTTGAAAAGTTCCACCAGCCCCGGATCCACGTTGAAAGAAGCTTGTAGCACCGAGGGATCCATTGCTTTCCAAACTGATGTTTCCCCAGCTAGCTCAGCAAAATATGGCCGGTAACAAACATACATAAATGATAGTAGTAAATAGTAAATAATAAGAATCTCCAACAATTACTCCCAGTAGTAAATAGTAAATAATAAGAATCTCCAACAATTACTCCTTTTTTTTTTAAATGAAAATAAGGATTGTGATTTTTTGCAGAAAAATTTTTATACTTCCTGTGAATACATTTCTTAATCACCTTTTTATCTCACATGTATCAAAATTGCTACAATACATTTTTCTTAAAAAAAAACTAAAAATAAGAATCCAAACGGAATTATTATCCTATCTTTTCTATTTCTGTGTTATAAATAATTATCTCCACTCCTTATAAATACTTTACAACTAGCATTCTTACCCGTGCTATGCACAGATTTATATTTCAATTAAAAAGAATAATATATACTTATATATTATAGTATAGGATAAAATATATGAAAAAGGCAAAATAATTCAAAAAAGTGTATACTTAACATGTTAAAAAAAGTTTATTTCGTAAGTACAAAATGGACTTTCTTAATTTTAATATCTTAAATAAGTTAAAACCAAAATTTTTTACCTATTGTCTGTCAATATATGATAACAATTTGAGTAAACTAATTTAATTTATAATGATTTACATGATAGAGCAATTGTAAACCTATTTATCAATATATCATGTTATACCCATATATCAAAATTTTTAATATTTAAAACATAAATTTTAACTAATTCATTTTCCTCAATTTTAGAATTTTTTTCTCCCATTTTATAATCCTAAAATTGTTGAGTGCTTATAAAATACTGTTCTTCATAAACTTTAATATAGATTTTAAAAAAATCTTTGTAAGATGTGTTTTTAAAGTTTTCAAAATTATTAAATACTATCACATTTTCCATCCTCTCTTATTTGCTAATTGGCTATCGATTGCTTTTTATAACTTTCAAATCTCTTACCACATTATCATCTTTTCTGTCATGTCTCTATAGTCCCCTTCTTTCTTCTCTTCTCTCTTCATCCAACCTCGTTGTAGTTCATCTTCTTTTTTCGTCATTCTTTAACTCCTTACTATATCTTTTTTTCCCCCATAGTTAGTCTCTAGCTTCCTATCCTTGATATCCAATATTTCTCTATTATTTATTCAAAGTATAACTTAACATATGTTTATGTTACACTACTATAAAGTAAATTTCACTGGTAAAAACACCACATTTAGTTATTTTTCATATTAAATTTGAATTGAATAATTTCAAATTTTCAAAGAAGAAATATTGTCATTGAATCTACATTCAACCTCCAAATTGAAGAGTTAAAATTTGAAAAAAAAAATTCCATAACTTGCAATTTGGTTTTACGATTTTAAAATATACTTATATTTGTACTTTCAAAATAACTTTGAAAAGATAAAATTTGAAGCAAAAGAAAAAAAGAAAATCATAACCTTCAATTTGATTTAATATTTTTACAATATATTAACTTTACCTCTCACAATATGAAAAGCATATAAAACTTAAGATTGATCACAATAGTTGCAAGTATTGACATTTAAAAATGCAAATGAAAAACTGATAATATCTTATAAAACCTTAACTACTACAAAAAAATATATAAAAATGACTTAACAATTGCATAGTTACATATGAAGAAAACAATAAAAATACATAAAATAATTAATCATACCCAAGATGATTCTTAGCATTTGGGTTTTGCACTGTTATTGATATTTAATTAAGGTCAAATTTGGATCAAATATATACAAATTTAATAGATACATAGTTTAGGGTCAAAAGTTCTATATGGTTTCTTTAAATTGCATTGTTATTTTTTTTTATTTTTGGTATAATTGGTGTTGTTTTTATTATTGTTTTTTTATCAAAAATAGAGATTTCAAATAAAAATTTTCATGTTGAAATGCTAGTAGTACTTTGCTTTTTATTTAGTAATTTCATAATTTAGGGTTCACGAGTGATACCATTCTTGATTTTTTTCGATCCATGACCAATGAATATTATTTTCTTTTTTGTTTTCTATATAATTTGTCTTTTTAGTTAGGATTACTAAGTTGAAGGATAAAATCTTGTTATTTACTTTTTTACTTTGAGTAAGTTTAGTGATGTTTCCTTCTTATTTACCTCACATTAATAGATTTCAAATCAAATTCCTATATAAGTGGATCCACTTCTTACTTTTTAAATTCAAAAGACATAAAAGGATATATAACAATTAAAAAAAATTAAAATTCTATATAAAAAAAAAAAGAATAAGGAGTTAGAAGCATTCAGATTTAATCATCCTAAAAACCCTTCCTACAATACATATAAGATTATTTTAAGTCTTTGTCCAAAACTTTACGAGCAACTGTCACCTAAATATGAAAGTAATAAGCTAACCATTAGTGCTCGCCTTGTTTTGAGCACGAAAGAAGTTCAAATCTTCCTTCCATTTTCCTTTTAATCTTCATTTGCTCCTCGTACCTCAAATTGCAAAATATCAGAAACCTTCTGAAATTATCCCTAACTTTAATTTTTTCACCGACAAACTTAACATCTAAGCTAATTCACGAGAGAATCCCAAAAGGCACTAACTCCGATTGTTACCCCTAACTTTAATCGCTTCTCTCATTACTGATCAAGCATCTTTACACACTTCCTCCTGCAGTTCACTCTCATTAGTGAAGGATGAGCGCCCGCTACCCGACAACCATAACCCCGACCCAAACCCGAATAGGCTGGGTAGGCATAGGCGTGATGGGCTCCGCCATGGCCTCCCGCCTCCTCTCTGCGGGCTACTCCGTCACCGTCTATGACCGAACCCCGTCAAAGGCCGCCCCTCTCCAATCCAAAGGGGCCCATCTGGCTCCCTCCGTCGCCGACCTCGCCCGTGCAAGTGATGTCGTCTTCACGATGCTGGGACACCCATCAGATGTTCGACAAATTGTGCTAGAGAACCTTGTTCCTTCTCTCAATCCCAATAGCGTTATTATTGATCACACTAGCAGCCACCCCACCCTGGCTAAGCAGATTTATGATTCTGCCCTTGAAAGACACTGCCACTCCGTTGACGCCCCAGTTTCCGGAGGCGACATCGGAGCGAGAGATGGCAAATTGGCGATATTAGCCGGGGGAGACGAGGATGTTGTGAAGTGGTTAAAACCACTGTTTGATGAAATGGGGAGGGTGACTTATGTTGGCGGCCCTGGGAAGGGACAGCATTGTAAAATAGCGAATCAGATAACCGCTGGGGCGAATTTACTTGGGCTGAGTGAAGGGCTGGTTTTCGCGGAGAAAGCCGGTTTGGACAAATTGAAGTTTGTGGAGGCTGTGAGAGGCGGTGCAGCTGGATCAATGGTGATGGAGTTGTTCGGGGACAGGATGATCAACAAGGACTTCAAGCCTGGCGGGGTCGCGGAATATATGGTGAAGGACTTGGGAATGGGAGTGGATGTTGGCGAAGAGGAAGGGGATGAAGTGGTGGTATTGCCTGGCGCTGCATTGACTAAACAATTGTTTGCTTCTATGGTGGCTAATGGGGGTGGGAAGCTGGGCACCCAGGGGCTAATATCTGTCATTGAGAAGATCAATGGCAGTTAAGATAACAAAGTGAAATCATAGCCTCAAGCAAATATCAAGTTGAGGTTCTGTTTTCCTGGATAGCACACTAGCTAAGCTTGAAATCAGCTTTTAAGTTCCTGTCTTCGATCATATATGATCAAGTACTTGCTTTTGCATCGATCATATATGATCAAGTACTTGCTTTTGCATTTGTAATTTAGTTGCATTCTTTATATTATACGTGATGCAGAATTCCTGGTAAAAAGAATTGGTGGATCTTAATTAGACGAATAAGGCCGACCTAGTATTGGTAAAAAACCAAGGCTGTGACTTTTACTTGGTGTGTGTGTGTGTGTGTGTTTGGTTAAAGGATGTACCAATAGGACTAGAAAATCACAAGATATGTCTTGAGAGATACAAGGTCTAAGGATGAAATATCAAAAAAATTTTCGTGCAACTGTTAATTTCTTTGCTTGTTCTCGATAACTTGTAGCACTACCGGTTAAAAGCGCAAAAGAAAAAAAAAAAAACCCATGGAATTACACTCCTCGATCATTTTGTAGTAGAATTGAGGAAAAATGGAGTACTTCAACCCACAATTGAGGAACAAAGAGATTGACTTTGATTAAGTTAGTTGAAGAAGGGTTGAACGTCAAATGTGTACATCCAATTACCAAAAAAAAAAAAAGAACCACCTCTTCAATTTGTTTTATATTTATATATATAACAAAAATTGGGACCCTGACGAGCATAAATCCGTTAAATAAAAACCCTTACACTACTTAAAATTTAACATAATAGAACGACCATCTTTACTCTTCAAACTTCAATACCTTTCTTTTCGACTCCAATTTTTGTTGAATTTGATTAATTTGCTGTTTGAAGATGAAATTGATCAAAAAATTAATAGTTTAAATACTAAAAGGTTTAAGAATGAAAAAATTAGGAATAAAAATTGGCATTTTCCCCCATTTGTTACTTTGGAAGCCCTTTTACTTCACTCCTCGAGCTGCTCTTTGTTTCATCATTTGAGATCCGACTGTTTTTGCCCTATTTCTTTTTTTTTTTTCCCTTGTTGGGTAAAATTAATTTTTTTAGACGTGAACAAGTAGGTAAAAATATGATTAAAAGTACGTATGTCAAAAAACTTGACAATTAGATTTCGGAGAGAATAATTAAAGCAGATTACAACAAATCAACTTAAATGGCCTCCCAAAGTTCATTAGTCTTTAGATACTTGTATATCTTTTTGTAGCCTTTGAGGTAGAAATCCTCAAAGGCTAGGAGTCCTAGCCACCGGCCCTCTGGCCTGGTGATCACTGCCAAACATTTAAGTCTTGGTAGTGTTGGGAGGTCAAGGATTCAACTCTTGCTTCCCACCAAATTGTCACTATAGGTGGCTGCTTTCAGTGACTTTCTTCGATGGAGTTTCTACTCTCATCGGCTCCCCCTCCTTAATTAAAATAGATTAGATTATAAAAATATTATCGTTGCGATTAAAAAAAAAAGGTAGGAGTCCTCAAGTCCCAATTCTCAACTCATTCCTTTGGAGGAACAAAATTTTTGCCCTTGCCAATCTTGGTGTTGAAAAGTTCCACCAGCCCCGGATCCACGTTGAAAGAAGCTTGTAGCACCGAGGGATCCATTGCTTTCCAAACTGATGTTTCCCCAGCTAGCTCGGCAAAATATGGCCTGTAACAAACATACATAAATGATAGTAGTAAATAGTAAATAATAAGAATCTCCAACAATTACTCTTTTTTTTTTAATGAAAATAAGAATTGTGATTTTAAGTAGAAAAATTTTTACGCTTTCCATGAATATATTTCTTAATCGTTTTTTTTTATTTCACATGTATTAAGTTGCTACAGTATATTTTTTTTATAAAAAAATTAAAAATAAGAATCCAAACGGAATTATTATCCTATCTTTTTATTTCTGCGTTATATATAATTATCTCCACCCCTTATAAATACCTCACAATTATTTCAAGTCTTTGTCCATAACTTTACGGGCAATTATCACCTAACCAGTGTTCATTTGAGAAAGATGCACGTTCAAAAGTCGGTAAGATGTGAAAAATCTTTTAGAAATTGTATCAATCAGCAAGAAGAAGAAAACTGTAAATCTTCAAGATAAAAAAAAAAAAAAAAACTTACTCTAACGATGTGACGACACAGAAATACTCCAATCCTTCCTCATCCGCAATCTTGGCAACAGGGAGGAACTTAGGCACGACGCATAACTGCCCGCTCTGCACTTTGGCTACCAATGCATTCTTACCATCCAATCCCGCGATTTCAACAACGCCGCTGCCTTTGGTGATAAAAATCAATTGGAAGGATGCATCGGCGGCATACATCGGGGTTGACATGGAGAACGGATCCAATCTCGCAAAATTAGCACTTAGTCCCACTTTCTTCAGAAAAGGAAAATTTTCAGCAGTAGCAATGGTAAGTGATCCGCCCTGATTCACGTGGATGCTGGGCTTTGCGCTTTCAAAGTTGTATAACATATTGATGTTAGCATCTTTGCATGGATCTGGCAACGTTTGATTCTTTGCAAGTTTGACAATCAAAGAACCAGTTTGACTTTTAAGGAGCTGGTCTGATTCATCTTGGGTGAGATCGAAAGCTCTAGTGATAAAGTCAGTCGAGAAACCCCCAAGAACACCCCGGACTCCTGCCAAGAAGAAATAGTCAAACTGGGCAGGAGTATAAGATTGAGCAGTTACACCCAAGAATACTATTTCCACGTCAGAGTTGTCTTCCCCGGCATTATACCACCACGAGACTGAACCCAAAGGCACCGGGATTGCATCTCCCTTCTTAGCAGCTAAAACAACTTCTTTTGGGCTGTTTGGTAGTACGATTCCAACCCTACCGCTACCTGCAGTTAATACATACATAGTGCATAAAAAATAATAATATATATAGGCCCTAATCCAAGGATGGCCAGAATGAAATGAAAAAAGAGCTATATTTAGTTCATGCGCGCAGTTCTGCGTTTACCTTGAACAAAGTAACCGATCTTGTGGCAGTCAGCATAATGGGGTAGAGCGAAACCCCGAGGACGCAAGACAAGCTTACCAGCACCTAACTTAGCCTCACTCAGCAAGGGAAACAGGGAAGCTGACCAAGTGTAGTATCCACCGCCTTCTCCCTCGAAGATAGTTACATCAGTAAACTGGGGTGCTAAGTTAAACTGGGATGCCATGGCCGGTTGAAGACTTGTGGAGATGAAAAGAAGAAATGGAAATACTACTGTAACGGGAGAATGAAAAGGGGAAGTAGCAATACAAGACTTCAGCTAAAAACAGAATGAAGCAGATTATAAAGAGCTAGAGCAACTGGTCCGACGAAGGACGCAGTTGAGAACTTGAGATGTCATCCATTTACTTTATGGACGGCGGAGCACCGAAGGGCTCCAACTAGCAGCTATTAGAAGCGATTTGTCTCATTCACTGAGCCAAATTTAGCATCAAATGGTCCTTGATACATGTCTCCCCGTCAATCTTACTAACATTTTAGATTTCAAATTCTGATTGTATTGATTGATGCCCAATTTGTCTACGTAATTAAATCAATGTTGTTAAATTCAGATCGAACAGTGACTCGACTAAAATATTGGGTTATGAATCAACTGGTCGAATCGATCGGACTGTTCTAAAAAATTTGCTGACATCAGTGTGATGTCATAATTTTATATTTTTATAAGTTTCAAAAATATTGAAATTAAATTCTTGGTTACATTCAACATTTCAACCAACCATATAAAATGTTCAAAAAATGTTAGACTTGCAATCAAATATACAGCTAAAAATTATATATAAAAGTGTAAATTCATGGCTGAAATATGCCCGTTTTCCAAAACTACTTGAAAAACTAAATTAAGACAAATTAATCCAAGTTGAAATTACTAATGCTAAATTGATAAAATGATAGAGATGAAAACTCCTTAATTTGGAAATCATTTAGGAAAGCGAGTAATTTTGGTGTTTACACTAAGTGGGTGGTATTTTCTTATTCTTATTAATAAAAGAAAATTTTACAATTTAGGTAATTCAAATTATGTTTAGGGGAAAACAAGAAAGAAAAATTTGAAAATTGAGTCAACCAATCGAATCGAGTCACTGATTTAGCTGATTTTGAAAGGTTTTGACTAATTTTTGATCAAAATGATTTTAAGCTATAAACCAGCTCCAAAATCAGGTCAATTCCCTATCGGACCGATCGGTCCAGTTCGAGTCTAACAACAGTTAATCAAATCATATACGCTGTTTCATACTTTCATTTACCTAATAAAATTTCCTAACTAGGTGCATGCAAGTTTATGTGGCATTTCTTTCTGTATCCTAGTGGTATCTTTCAACCGGTAAGGGGAAAATTAATTTGTGCCTCGTTTATTCATATATTTGACAAACTGTATTTGAATGAATCTGGCAGTTGTAATATTTTATTTTATTTTTTTTTAGAAAAATGTTATTTGCACTCTCATTTTTATTAATCGCACTCTCGCTATCATTTTTATCATATAATTTTCATTTATTAGACTGTATGACAAAACAAACAGTACAAGTGCAATTAACAATAAAAAAAATAAAGTATAAATAATATTTTTTTCTTTTTTTATTACGACCAATCCACTTAAGAGAATAAAAATATGTCCAACCAAATCTCACAAAGAGTCAAAATACTACTATATTTTTTGCTACAACGTGTTAGATAATTTAGACTATAGCAATTTGGTATATGTGATTCGATATTCAGATGAATAATACTGCAATCCTTGCCGACGCAGTTTCGAATTTGTTCCAAAATCTATTTTCTTCTTTTTCATGAGCATCAAATACACTCTAATCATGGGCACAAAAATTCCACATGGTTTGCCTAACATGAACCATAATAACAGTAGTATCATTTCACATTCAAGGAGGCAACGTGATTCTCCAAAACGTGCAAAGGGCTGTTTACATATTGCTTGATCCAGCCGCCTGCAGTGTTCATTAATAACGTAAACAACAGTAGCCGCATCTGAAGATCGAGATTTGACTGAAAAACACATTAAGTGCTGTCGATCATTCTTCAATATAACCTGTCCTGGATTAATATTCCCCTAAAGAACTAATTCCAATTGAACAACAATATCAACACTAATCAATAAAGATGAAACAATGGAAAGGAATCAAGGTGCATGATTAAGCTAAATTAACAAGGGAATGTAACGAGAAAATAAGAGTAAAGAGAGCACTTATTAAATGGGTTATCCTTTGAGAGTAGAATGTTTTTGCTTTTTTTTTTAAATAAAAAATGAAAATAACAAAAAATATATATATAAAGAAGAAAGATTTTGCAGAACCACTAATTTGGTTCGACCGAGAGAGAACGAAAATGTGTATCAGCCAATCTTGTAAGGATAGAAAGACGTTTCTCTCCTCAGTGACATCACTGAAAACTGAGAAGGAATTCATATTGTCTAATGAATGACCTAAAAATAAAATTGGCGAAATTTAGGGTGCGTTTGGAGTTGCGGTAGTTTATTAAAAAGTACTTTTTTAGCAGAGTTTTTAATAAAAGTACTTATCAACTATTTAAATAATTTTAAATATATTGTTTGGAGATATAGTTCAATGAGTACTTATTATATTGGGTAATATGCAATTTAAAAATTTTTAAAAGTGCTTATCTCTTTATTTGGTTCATAATATAGGATAAGATGATTAAATTTGATATTTTATTTTTTAAATCACAAAATCTACTCTAAAAGCACCAAATTTTAGCTTTTGCTAAAAGTGCTTTTAACGCCAAAAGATCTACTCCTAATTTAAAGGGATGATATTTACCACACACTTTAAAAGTAATTATACTTTTAGCACCTAAACTACTTTATCACCAAAAGCACTGCAACCCCAAACGGGGCCTTAGCAATTTAGACCTTGTTTGATAACCTAATTCAACATTTAAACTTAATGGGTTTATAGCTTAATATGTTCAAAGGCGTTCAATAACAAAAAATAAGACATCTAAATTAATTGAGTGGTACTGAATTTTTTAGACAAAATTTGCTCCAAAAAATAAATAATAAGTGAAAAGACGTGTTTAATAACCAAAAATAAGACATCTGAATTAATTAAGTGGTATTGAACTTTTTAGACAAAATTTGCTCCCAAAAATAAGTGATAAGTTGTTCACTTATCACTTAATGTGATATATATTCAAATGTATCGAATTTAATATTTAACAATGTCAAATATCCTTAATGAAATTTGAACAGTTCCATTTGAAGCAGGGGTGGATCTACTGTGGGGGCACGGGCCCCCACTGCTCCCCTTAAATTTCTATGAATTTCTATAATACTCATAGAAATTGGATATAATTTTAAGTGTGTCCTCTGGAGTTTTGTGTATTTTGATTGATTTATATGTTTTTAAAGTTGGTTTTGATTTTGTCTATTGTTACAACTACCGTATAATGAGCTTTTTCAGTTATAAATATAGTGAAGAATTGATTACGAAATAAAATGAAAGACACTTGGATGAATGATTGTTTAGTTACTTACATTGAGAAAAATATATTTCGTGAAGTACAAAATGAGAAGGTTGTAAATCATTATCAAAATATGAACACTCGTCGCAACCAATTGCAAATGGTTTAATTTGCTTTTTGAAATAGAATTATTATTATATTAATAATTTTGAGTTTGTTTTTTTATGTTTTTCATGGAATATATGCATAATTTGTATTTGTTGGTGAATATTTTTCTTTTTTGCTTAAAAAACTAGAAAAATAGTAGGTAAAAAATTTTAGAATTACTTTTGCACCCACTGAAAATTTTTTCTGGCTCCGCCGCTGCATAAAAAGCTTACAGACAAACATATTTTAACTATTTACAAATGTGGGCTCCAATTAATTTTGAAATCGGAGCTATTCTCATTAAAAGTGAGTCGCAACAACTCTCGTCTACTCAGTAGTTTCTCCATTGGTGGTGTGAACCTCTTCCATCTAACCACCAACTTCCTTCCAAACTTGTCTTTTCCCGGAGATGATCATGGTCTAATCCCTACAAAATACTACTACTACTAAACAAAAACTTTTTTCTGTTTAAGCTTTTTGGAAAGTTGTCGTATGACTTAAACTTTCATTGGATCAACCACGCATGCACCAATCAAAAGCCCAGTACTCGTTAGTAGTGCTGATTTTACTTCTCCACGACTCTTGTCAATTGGGTCACGTGTTTTGTACGGAGTTCTGCTTTATTGGCTGAGGACCACGTACGTTGTTGATGAGATAAGGCATGATAATTAGTTTGATAATTAGCAAATGTCGACTAGCCACCCTCCTTCAAAGCCTCAAATTCCATTTCTGTCTTGGAATATTATGTACTATTCGTTCACATTTGGACTCGAGAAATCAATCAACATCTGAGAGCAGGTTTATATTTTATTGGGTATCTGTCTCTTGTAGCTTTGTATTTTACCACAATATCCTCTTATAATTCGATAATATCTCTTCTAGTTTTACCCCCACCATCTTTCACATTAAGTGGAAAATGGAAGGCAGTCACATTAAGTAACAACGGAATTAATTTCAGTTCTGTCCTCGATTAAATATTAAACATAACAAGGTCTTTTTAATTATTTTTTTGACTACTCTAAACTCCCGTACTGTGCCATAGTAGGCTGTATTTTTGGAAGAAATTATAATCAAGGGAAGAATTTAATAAGAGTAAGAAATTTATGTAATTGTTCATATAATTTAGGGCACATCAAAATATAGTTAAAAAAAATAAAATTTTGTAGCAATAGTTCAAAGTATGGTAAAAACATCTCCATTATTTATAATTAAACTACCACTTTTGATGGAAGTCGAATCCTGAAAAGAAAAAATAAAAATGTATATCATAGACTAAGGGTCTAATTAAATGTAATTGAATATTTAATTTGATAAGTAAATGAAATACCTACCAACATTTTGTATTCGATTTGATAATCTTCTACGAAGGTACGAACATTCTTTACACCAATCGATTTTAAGTACGAAACACCAATATTGGGGGATTAATTAATTCTGTTGAATTTTGTGGAGTTCGTACTACAAATGAGAGGGCATTTGTTTTTGCATGAATTAATGTGTTGGTCAAACAATGTACCTCCATTTTCCTATAACTAAAAGCATATGGAATTCAAAAATATCATTTTTTTAGAATGTTTGTAAATAATATTGTATAAAAATATATACATATAATTAATTTATACCTGTCTTGAAGATCGAGGTACAGGAAAATATTTAACCTTATAAGGGGTATGTTTCATGATGAAATTAAGTTGAGGGCTAAGATGGATACCGTAAGAAAGCTGAAAGAGATGATAGATTCTTGTTTTTGTTTATGAAATGGACGAATGAACATACGGGGCAAGCATCAATGAGAAGAGATGATAGATGTCGATGAACTATTATGAGA